TTATTTGTTCTTTATAAAAAGAAGGATAAGGAGATTCAACAGTATTCAATATCAAAGTCCATAAAAAAATACAAAATAGGAGCAGAGCAAACACGGACCTCCATAACGTCAGATTGATCACGTGCCAAAGGATTGATAGAACTTCCCTGCTGACCGGTCAAACCTGCCGTGTGCTCCTTGTAATGATCGGGAAACAAGGGAAAAATCCGTCGTCAATTCAGTGTATAAATAATGGACTAACAATTAGTATGAAAACGTAAGTAAGCATTTGACTAAATGACAAATTATATTTGCTGACAAGGTCATTGTATCGACCACAGAACTTACTAAATGATGACTTTAAACGAGACTGCTGATATTCTTGTTTCATCAACTTGATTGTCAATAATTTACCTCGTTTTTTAAATTGTTCATACGTAGAGCATGCTCTTGTGCATCGAATCAACTGAGATATATGCACTCCGTATGCAGGTGATGAAGGTTTATTGCTGCATAAGTGAGGGAAGTTGAATAGAAAAATTAAAGTCATCACGTTTATCAAGTAAGGGAAGTTGAATAGAAAAATTAAAGTCATCACGTTTATCATATAGCTTGGTTGTTATATTACCATTAACGTCTTTCTCAAGTAAAATATCCAGGCATAAAATTTTGCACAAATTCTGCTTCATATGAATACAAAAATATCTGATTCACACCACTTCTTCAATATATTGTTGCATAGTACTCTTGAAGTTTTTCCTTTACTACTTAGTGAGGAGTTACGAAAGAGGCTTGGTTGAACATTTACTGGAACCTTCAATGTATCTTTGTTTGTAAGGATTCTAATGAAGTTTCGCAATCCAGTTTATATAGGGTAGTTGAAATTCGTTTTGGCTCTGTAGAATATTACATGTAAAATATTCAAAACTGACATATGATTTTGAAGAATTTCTTGTTTAAAAAGGGAAGTATGAGTGTAAGTAGGATAACAACATGTAGAATTCAGTCCAAGTTCTTCTAGAATACAATTTATATAATGAGCCTTACAAATGAAGACAATGTTGTTACCTCTTTTGTCGGCAGGGACCAGTATGTACTGATCATGTAATCTATCTAATTCTTTATTCACTTCTGGAGAATCCATAATATGAATGAAATTCCGACGCCCGTTGAAGAGTCGGGGTTCCTTATATTTAGGACCTTTTAAAATAACTGATATAAGGTCATCGTTATTAACTATATTTACGTCACCTGTAATAACGTGTTCAGCAGGACTATAGTTGTAGCTATAAGAACATGAACACGATGAGGGATTAAAATGTTTTTTACGACCTTGATTACTACATTTTTTTTTCTAAACTAGGTTATAGAAATACCCATTAGAATCCTTGGTTTTTACATTTTCTTAAATTATCTTGAATTATTTTGGGTAAAATCAGAATGGGTACATCCCCTTCCTATTCTGTTTTGTTGAAAAGACCATCTGTCTATTTAAACAACCTCTATCTAATTAATTAAAAAACCAATCAAAAACTAAATTGATAACATCTATCTACCAAAGAATCATATATTTATATATAAAATGGGAACCTAACTATAAATTGTAACCTAGATTAAATATGATACAGTTTGAGTCTTCATAGGACGATTGTTTCCTCTCTATACCCTTAGGTCATTTAAATTACTGACCAATTTAATAATTTAAAATAGGACAATGATTCTGCTGATAATCAATCTAATTAATACACGTTTTGGCATTCATTCTGAAAAAATCTCAGAGTACTAAATTTAAAACTTTTAAAATAATTAATATTTTTTATGATGAAAAAGTACTTCTGAATCCAGTTTAGTATCCAATATCCAATCAAATCTAAGTAAGCTCTAAATGTATTTCACTTACAGCAACCACAAAATCATTTTCCTTAACAATACACAACAGCCCCTATTTCGATAACCTCCCTCGACCTCATTCCACAGACTACTTCTTGTCAAGTCTCCCAATCCGTTTTTAATGTTTAATTTATTAACAGTCTAATTCAACACAGGAACAGAATGTCTAGAAAAAAATATTTCTGTGATATTCATTCAAATGATAATAAAAGACTAGATTCTGACTCAAACTATTTTCATATTTAAATATTTAAAAACAAAATGAAAATCATGCTAAAATATCTATGAATTTCATTATTAATACAAAATTATATACTAATGTCAACTTACATTTTGTATGTATCATTTGATGATTTCCAGCGGATATTTGGGTCTATACCTCCAAACTGATTTCATCATATAATCAGTCAAGAGTGTGGTCTCCATGCCATTGTCAATTAGTAAACCGAGGCGACTTTCTTTCAATTAAAAAACAATGACCTTATGAAATCTATGGATAATTCAAGTGTAGACTAGCATCTTCTATGAAAATTGTAAGGTCATAATCCTCGTAAACATTGAATTTTCTAAGTACTTTTCTGTATACTTGATCATGACAGGAGCACAAGGTCATGTGAACAGTCGACAGGGGATGCCTACTCCTCTCCGGCAACCAATCCAACCTCATTTTCAGTTTTCCGGTGTCTATGTTTGCTCTGCTTTCAATTTTTAATGTTTAAGGAAATATGGCGATAATGAATAATATTCAAATCAAGTTTAACAATAACAGATAACGAACAGAGAAATCACGGATCTTTAAAAACAGCAGAGGTGGGATCAGGTGCCATGGAGGAATGAACATCACCTGTTGACCGATCACACCCACCATGTGCTTCTTTTCATGATGGGAAAAAGGAGAAAAAATCAATAACCAAATCAGCGTGTAAACAATAATATATTTAAAGCCGAATTTTACAAATCTTTAAATCAAATACCTTAATCTGTGCATTATAATTTTTCTGTAAGGAATACATGATATTTTGGATTTCTTTATCAAAACAATATGAAAACATTCATGTGAAAATCAAAATAAAGGTAGGAATTTATAGTGAGAGCTTAAGTATGCATGTGTGTATTGCAAATTTTCTGCCAACTCACGCCAAAGAGAAGACGAGTGAAAATTTTCGTTATTAAAAAAATGTGATTTCAGTTTAAATTAACTATTTTCACTTTGTTATCGTTTTAAAAATTACATTTGCGTATTTTTATTTATTATTTCCTTTAAAACTTTAAAGTTAAATCAATAAAACAAGGTATCCAACTTTTCCACTGCCTTCATTTTTGATACTTGAATGTGCATATCACAATATCATGAATATAAATGTACAATTGCTTTGAGAGGGTTTTTGAGGATTCACTAATCCGGAGGATTTCATTCAGGACAGAGGCATCCAAATAAAGGAGGTACCATCGTAGATTAAAGAAAATATAGTCTTTTTACAGAGGATTTCCAGCATAAAAGCCGGTTTCCTAAATTTTTTTACCCTATATGAAACATGGGAAAAATTATTATAGTACTTCTGGCCACTTGAACCCATGTCCTTTAATTTTTTCCATGTTTTGGTGCATTGTTGGGTTGATACAAATTGGATATAAATCATGAAATCTATATAAGATACAAAAGAAGGATTAATGTAAAATCATGAATGTTTATGTATCATACACAAGAATTTACGCATAAGTCGTTTATGAAAAAAATAGAATTGGAAACGTGATTATGTATTTAGCTATTAAAAAGAATTCAATTTTCCTAAGTTATCATTCCTACCAGTTCAAAGATCTTAAGATTCTTATGGCATTAGTCAATAAGTAAAATGTTTCTCCTCACAAGTTTTGAAAATTTAAGTCAGCATTAATACGTTGTTATGTTGCATGTGTTTTATTTTTACCCTATTCAAGGACACCACAAATATTTTGAAGAAAGAGTACCAATCATCTATCTATATATATATATATATATATATATATATATATTTATATATATATATATGCATTATATTTTATATATATATATATATATATATATATATATATATATATATATATATATATATATATATATATATATATATATATTCATATATATATAAGATATTCTAATTAATAACAAGGTTTATCTATTTTTGTACCCATGTTTGCATTGGAATCAATTTTCAAAAACAGCTTTTGTAGATAAGATCAAACATACAGCCTAATAATTTTACGATCTTCTTATTTTTCGTCATGTAATTTTAAAATTATTGTGTGTTTTCTAACTTCTTTTCTGTTTAAAGGTTACTTGGTTTTTATTTTTTAAAAAATATATGTATATGTGTACATACATTTCTTGCTCCTGGATTTATAGATGAAAGTATAACTGAACACATGTGCTCTGCGTTAAATGTTGTTTGATTGATCGTTACATTTTAATTATTTTGCTCCACACACTCAAAGCATTTTGAATATTTTCGCAACTTAAAAAGATTCTTTGTCTTTCATGTCAATAAGAAAATGATTTTGGTATCAAAAATACTTATATCATGAACAAAACTGAGATTTTACCTCATATCTTTATTTCATTATCTCATGAGTAATTATTCAGATAAGATTTTACTTGAAGAAGCCATATGCAATTAACATTTTTTTTTACAATCTTAATTACCAGTCCATGAGTGTTTGTGTAAGTTAAAGATTTCTTCTCCTTTTATGCAACAAATGAAAAGGGTTTGATGGCTTACAGTCTAAAAATAATTATTATCAAAGAGGGGGAAAACCACTGCTTTGGTTTTACCTTGCTAGTAATATTAGATTTTTAGCCCAGTTCAAGAGTAGAACTGATATATATCGGTCATTTAAAGTAGCCATTATCTTTTGTTAAAACACGACATAAGCTGATAATTAATTTAATAAACACAGATATTGTCATTCTTTCTGACAAAAAAAAGATCACGTGACGACGTTTTGATGAATTTAGTATATATAATGTGTCTTTAGAAAACAATCATCAAATTGGCGTTTCTCTCTACCAAGCCACAACATTATTAATTCTTTAAAATACGAGATTTATCAAAAATAAGAAGAAAATGGGGTACTATTTAATTATTTTCGTTTTATTTACATGTAGCTGTATTCAAACTGGCATTGTTCAGACGGAATTTCATAATTGGACATCAGATGTTGGTCCACATAAACAGAACATTATGTGTCCAAATTCATGTACCAAGGAAGAAATTAAAAATAGGTGTTGTGCTTGTAAAAGCAAACCAATTTGGGAGATTTTTTCGAATATATCATATAAACCATTATATATGGAATACCTGAACCCCACTGGCCATTGTAAAATTGTTACAAACGAAACGTTAACTGGATTCAAATGGATACTTCATCAGGGCGGAAGGATGACGCAATTGCCAAATAATATTTGTAGTTTTAGTGATATTCTGGTGACAGTGGACTTTCAAAGAAACAGACTTTCAAACATTGAAGGAATTAATTGCCTAAAGGCCTTGGATTCTTTAGATGTAAGTTATAATGACATACAGTTCATTACAAACACTACTTTCAAGAATATGCCAAACTTACGGATACTTAGAATGGCTCATACTGGCATCAAATCACTTCAACCTTACATATTTGAACTACAAAATACGGAGATCTTTGTGATAGATTTATCGCACAACCACTTTGATAATTTACACATCTCCAATATTTACCCGAAGAGAAGTGTTTTCTGCAACATTTCATTCGATGAATCAAACCTTACATTAACAGATGTTCCTGAATTCAAAATATCTCTCCAAGAGAGTTATGGAGGTGGGGATATTATTTTTGGAACATGTAAAACAAACAAACATCCCCTTTCTGTCATATTTAAGGAACCATCGGAGATCAAAAAAGCCTATCAATATAATCACACTGGGGCTTTCGAGTTCTCAAAATTAACCATGCCCTGTGATTGCCACCTAGGAGAACTCCTCTTGTCAGAAAAGGATATGTTCGAGAGATTTTATTCCATTCCAAATAAAACACAGTATATATGCCTTTCTCCAGAAAATATGAAAGGTATCGATGTACTCAAAACATTCAATAACATCTCAGTGTTTGATCAATTTATATGTCATAAAACAAATTTTTGTCCCGAGAAATGCACGTGTATTGAACAACCAAGTCAAATGCGAATGTTAGTAGACTGTTCCAATGCGAATTTAACAAAAATTCCAGACATAGTTCCTCAGACCAATTATGATATCGAATTGAATTGCAGCAATAATAAAATAACCAAGCTCACTTCTCCAAAGACTCTCAATAATCATTCATATTTATCAAATATTACTCTTTTCGACTTGTCTAAAAATGAGGTTCAAACAATCGAAGATAAATTTCTGGAGAAGTTCAATAAGACCTCGAGTCGTCTCAAATCCCTTCTTTTGCTGGATCATAAACTCATAGAACTTCCAGTACTATTCAAAAGCATTGACCCAGATAAAGTCTGGTTTGGCAAAAACAGTGTATCATGCGAATGCAAGGATGAGTGGATCGCCAGTTGGAGATCATCTGTGCAAAATAAATCTTCAAATCCTTTGTTTTGCACCAATGCGAATGGAGTACGACAAGCAGCAGAAGAAGCTTTTTCGGATTGTTATGAAGATGAATTTGACCAAATTATTTTTAATCTCTTCCTTATACCTGCTGTCGTCTTGGTGACTGCGGCAGTTGCTATCTACTTTAGATATGATTTTGTAATTCTAAAGAATCGTCTTGTGGATCATAGGAAGAAAACGTACAAGTATGATATTTTTATTTTGTCGGATGACTCAAATGTGGACGTCAATAAATTTGCAATTGACATTTTCCTATATCTCAAAAAGGAGGGGTACAAATGTTTCTATCCCCCCGTTGACGAAGATGTAGGTACTATTCGCCATATTCATTTAGACAAAGAAATAAAGTCATCCAGAAACATAATTATTATCATTTCTAAACCTCTTCAAAATGACAACTTTGATGATCTAACGTTTAGAATGAATCAGGCATGGAAACTGCTTTCCGAAAATCAGGTTGAAAACTTGCTTGTTGTTTTGTTTGATGGAAAAATTACAGATGAAAAGTGGCGATTTCCATATGTGAGAGCCCTGAGAAGGTTTAAAAGAGTTTTAAATGTATGTAGTAGAAAATACAACGTGAAAATAAAAATCAGCGAAACTTTGCCCCCACCCGAAGTTCGTACATCTATTTCCTTTACAGAACTACATGCATTAGGAGAATTAGAATGATAAAATTTGATAACAACTGTCTTTTTCCAGCACATTTAACAGGAATACAATTCATTCAATTATTAGAAAATCATAAATAGAACATGTAATCAACATAATTGAGTTTGTTTGTAAAGGAAAATATGTTTTATTTAACATGAATATTATAAAAGAATAATTTATTATATAAAGTCAAATTACGTTGATTCTATAGGGATAAATAAACAAAACATTTCCCCCCAGGAAATCAATTTCTTTTGTGAAACGAGGTACCTTTATCAGTAAAGAAGTGATATTTGGGAATAACTTTTCTACAAACTATATGAGATTCATGAGAAAGATTTAAAAATATTGATACATGTATATAACTTAAAAAGGACAAGTAGAAAATAAATTTTGAAAAAAAAAAATCCAAGATAAATGAAGATGTGTTGCTGTAAAGTTTCTAGGGATGTTTTAAATTATCACTTATTCAATTTGATTTCCTTGAAATTTCCTATACTTAAGTCTATTAAGAGAGAAAAGTCGAAAAAAAAAACTGTAAAAGTAATGTGTATTTTTGTATCTGAGTAAAGAAAAGTTGTTTATGTTATTTAACTGTTTATTTTGATTTAATTTGTGATGATAATGAATATAAATTACTTTTTTTGTGTTTGTTTTTTTAGCTAGAAAATACAATAGATTTTCTAAAGTAAGCATTTGTGAAAATTTTTGTCAAGATTGTTCTCTTTAGCAAAGGTGGTAATTAATGCATTGTACATCAAGGAATGTAATATAAATAATTGAATCAAGAATAACAATACCTAGCTTTATTTTCTAAATTCTTTTTTTCTCTTTCAAGAATCTCACTCCTTGGAATTTGCATATCATTCAAATATTACCAAGTTAAAGTCAGATCAAAATAAATGTAATTAACAGCAAGCTCTTTTTAAATATTTGAATATAACTTTATAGTAACTGTTGTTTGGCCTTTACCATTTGGGAACTTTTTACTTGTTTTGAGGCGTCGCCGTATTGCACTGAGAGGCTTCCAATTTAGATTTAAACTTGATATAAGGACCATTGAGCTGAGAGTTTGGGACAACCCAAATGGTCAGAGGTGGGATCAGGTGCCTTTGGAGGTTGGTATCTCCTGGGGACTGGTTACACCTGTCGGCAATCACTTATTTAATAATAATTGTATATATGACAGGGAGAGGTTTTTTTTAAGTTGCAAGAACTTGTATATCAATCCCTTTGTATAAATTATACAATAAAATATGTTCAAAGCAAAACACCTGTCGTGTGCTTTGTCATGATCGTATAAACTGAATAATTGCCTAACAATACGAATCTCAGCCAGTATTTGATTTATGATAAATTGTATTCGCTGATAAGGTTATTGTATATCAACTAACAAGCCTCACGGGTTCAAATCCTATTGTTGGACATTGAGACGAATCCTTCGGATGAGACCGTTTAAACCGAGGTCCCGTATCGCAGTAAGTGCTGGGCCGTTTAAGACCCCTCAATGTCCAATTGCCCTCAGTGCCGATTATTGGACAAAATATGCAGATCTCCACCGGCAAATGGTGGTGTCTCCATCTGAGTGAAAAATTCTCGAGAGGGAATTAAGCATTATACTATCAATCAATTTTAAGCAAGTGTATCTTCAATTAAAGGTACTGAATTCCAATGGAATAGCGTCGTAAATTGAACCTGCCTCCAATTAGATATTCTTTTGAAGTAAATCTATGATACATAAATTTTGAATAAACTTTCTCACATTAAATTAATGCACATATAGTATCAGATCACATACGGAATCAGTTACACAATAATTACGTTATGATTTAAATAAAAAAAGATTGGATTTAATATTTCTATCAAATTGAGCGAATGTATGATATGAATAAGAGATATTTGCCAATAAATTGAAAAATAAAATTATTTACTAAATATTAACTAAGTTAAATCGACTATGATGTTGTTTATGCCTCCTATGAGAAATATTAGCCTGATAGTGCAGTGAAAAATAACCAAAACACAGATATGCATTTTTGTATCGATTATGTCATTTAATTCAGTGACATAAAGTAAAATTCTCAGAGCTTTTACGTTTATAATGCATATCCCTTTTATGTGTCTAATGAAAATTTATCTACAGTTTTACCTTAAAATTTTGAAGAATTATTACAGTAAGTCATCATAATTTTCTTTTTTACAGTTCAGGTTGACGGGTTACGTTAGGCAGTTTAATCAAAATAATGAATGAGTAGTTTTGATTCTTGCAATTGCATTCCTTCATTTGACCTATTATTGAATTGGTTAATAACGTGTCACTTATTATTCTTTTTTTTATTCACGCAACGACCAATCAGAAGCCCAGAAGATCCTTTGATCAAAGATTGCATAAGCAGCATTCCAATTTTAAATCAGATAAACCAAACATTCTGTGTGTACAATTGTACCTCGTGACTTGAAATATCATATTTCGACCCTTTTAAACAAGATATATCTTGCAAATAAGTTTTACCTTTAGTGAAAAAGACACGAACTTCGCAATATGTTAACAACTTGAAGGGGAAAACCCAAAACAATTTGCTAATTCAATGAAATAAAAAACGATTTTTAGATAATGACTACAGCCTAAAATATCTGAAATATTTTTAAAGTGTTATGAAGAAAATAATAAAATAAAGCAATATACCAGATATTCTGAGTACATATCATGTTTTTATGTTTAAATCAACAATGTTTTTGATTTTTGTATTTTTACAGAAAAAATAAGATAAACGGACTTGCAATTAATCCAGTTTTAATTTAGGATTAAATGCGAATGTTGAACATACACTTAACACAATTATAATTTCTGCTTCATCAAACAATTTTTTGGTTTCATTCAAAATATGTTTTATAAATCCTGATGATATATTGTCATAAATATGAATCGAATATTATGCAATCAATTAAGCATTGTTTATTCGGGAGGAATATTTTAAAATGTGGTCTTCAATCTCAAATTAGTAATTGAAACACGATTTGGAGCTAAGTAACCTCTTACGTGTACGCGGCTTAGGCCTATATATATTTTTTCTGCAACAGCTGCGACATTAATTCCCGTACTAACAACCAAAGAAAGCATTTTATTACATAAATATATAGCAAAAGACATGCAGGTGTTTCCCAAGCTATAAATAACTTGATGTAATTTTCGAAAACTTCCAACTTATAAGAAAAGACTATTTATGTAAGCGGCAAGGCAAGTCCAAGAATGGTAGAGAAATGAAAGGGCGCTAAAGTATATAACAGACAACTTTTATTGCCGGGACCCCTGCATCACAAGCGCCAGTGGCTCTACTGACTGAACTTTCCAGACCAATATCCACGGCCCAAATCATTACAATATCTAAATTGAATATGTATGATTATGTTGCATAAAATGATTTCAGTTGTCAGCAACATTTATCAATCCGGAAATGTTCATTTTCTGCCATAATGGTTCAAAAATTTCTATGTGAAGAGTATTTCCAGTTAGCATTCAACAAGAACTGGCCAAACTATATATAGGTGAATTATGAGAGTTTTTTTTTGTTCTAATGTATCGAAAGACATAGGCCGGAGCCAATGTATTTTTTCGAAGCATATTCTTAAATATGTACTTCATTATAGATCATAATAATCACAAACGTTCGTCGTATAAAATGGAAACATTCAAACAAATTTTTCTTGGGAGTTTTTCATGGAAGATATGTTTGGCCCGCCGGTTGTACTTTTGCCTTTATATAGAATACCGTAGAAAACAGATACTATATGCGTGTGTCCCCTCAATAATAAAAAAAAGTCTTGTTTTCTTTATTCAAGAAATTTTTGGTATGTATGGCGATGCCCCTCCCCCCCCCCCCCCCCCAACTGAAATTGCTTCCTACGTGCCTGTGATCAATAACTAAAACTGGATTCAGTTGACAACTCAGGTGCATATTATGTTACAAATTGTTTATCATCCCTCAGCACACCTTGTCCGAATCGTACCTAATAAATCTCATTCTAATCTGAATTGTGGTTTTGTAGGTATAGAGATAGTTTGCGAACTTTTTGATCACCCCTCGTATAATCATTGTTTCGCATGAATTATTATAAATATTTGCACTTTGTTTGGCTAACGTACCAAAATTTAATATGAGAAATATGCTTCACAGGTCAGTCTCGGTCATTTAAATAAAATTATGGACTCAAACTTCGAGAAATTGCATTCTTGTTACTAAATAACATTTAAGAAAAAGAATATTAAAGCTAAAAAAAAACTATACGTTGACGCATTGCTTTTCATGGTATGAGCTCCACACTAAAGAGACCCCCATAATTTCCTTCTTCCAGAAGTAATATATTGCCACATTTTCCTGTAAATACTGTGAAAGTTTGAGTGTATATGTCGTACTTGTATTAACAAAGTTTTACAAATTTAAAACAATAATACACACGCAATACCTATTGCCCCTGAAATTTATCTTCTTTTACTCTAAAAAAAAATTTAAAACATACTTAATTGTCTGTAAATTGGCGACAATGAATATAAATGTTATTGACTGATTCTCACAAACTGGATGATTTTATTACAAAAAGTAAGTATGTTGCAAGTGAATCAACTATTTTCATGTAAAAATATTCTAGAGATAATTTTGCATTGTGGTTGATGGATAACATCATAAGCAGGCTGGGGGGGGGGGTATGCGTCTTATGAAATAATTACTATTCAAAGTAAATTTCGTAATGTTTGATTAATAAATCCTTAAACTTGTTAAAGTAAAACTGAAGTCATTACTTTTCTTGCGAACTATCACTACATTGTAATAGTTTCAACTCGGCCGCCGACAGTAGTCGCCTCGACTTTAACAGTTTGCAAAGTTATACGATAGAAAAGTCAAGATTATAATGTTTATCATAGAGCTTAGTTGTTAGATTACCATTAACGGCTTTTTCAAGTAAAGTATCGAAGTATAAAGCAGTGTCAGAATCTTTGGTACATGTATCTTTTATTTCAAGCTCACCAAGATATATCGTATCAACATAGTAATGGAAATAACCATTGTTAATTGACAATACGTCGTCGATATATCAAAATTTTGAGTTGCAGGCCACAGCAAGTGTTTTTCTCTTTTCACGCATAAGATTTTGCACAAATTCTGCATCATATGAATATAAAAATAGGTTTGCTAATAACGGAGCGCAATTGGTGCCCATGGAAATTTTAATAGAGTGTTGGAAGACCTGGTCTCCAAAAAACCACATAGATACATGTATTATCAATCAGAATATCAATTATATATTGTCTCTCTTTGCAAAAAAGGGGGATAGCCCCCCCCCCCCATCCTCCACCCCGGTTCCGACACCTATGCATCGCAATTAAAATCAACAAGTGACATCATCAGTGAACAAAATTATTTTGTTAACTGCGATTGGGTATTGAAAGGTCGCGTCAAAGTTAATTTTCCGACAATGTTTTACTTGCATTATTCAATATTTTAATGAGCTGAATGGGAGAGGATCGTACATTTTGGTCGTGGTTTGCGACGATTAGCTGCGCCCTATATTGAACGTACACACGAATTCATTCACACGCGGTTATTGAAAAATACTAAATATTAAATGGTGAGTGTCATTCTAAGATTTACCGAACTGCCTCTGAAGATCCTTAGCGTGTAAGGGTTTCTTTTTACGTGTAATTATCGTTTTTCAAAGCTTTACCGCCTAGGGAAAACGTCAACAAATAGCCGTATCACAAATGTTAGGCAGGTGCGCATCAAGTTTTATTGTACAGCCGAGGTGTGATGAAGGTGACGAAATCGACAGAGATTTCATAGAATGATTCAATTTGATTGGTTGAGAGATAAGATTTTTTTTTATGAAAGACGTTGCCACAGTCAGCCCACAAAATATTGATTAAAATCAAATTTGCAAAAGGGGTTCGACGGCAACGTGTCAACTCAGTACAACTACCGGTAGCATTGCGAGATTGACATTGTTCCTGTATGTTAAATTTCCGATCTTCGATATTCTATTTTTTTAATACTTGAATTAATCTGTGCAAGTTATACCATTTTTATCTTGCAGAATTCTGAAGAAGAGGGCTGCAATGTTTGTTAAGATAATTTACATCCTCCTCCTTTCTGTCTTACTTTTGTGTGAAGTTTCCTCATCAAGCTGTGACGCTACAAATGGTAATCATTTCTATGTATGGCTCTTTTTCAAATTGCTAGCACTAGCAGTTGGTTCAACTATTTCTTTTGTTAGTGCTGGTTTGAATATTAATCATAATATTTGCTCTTTATTTTCTTTAAATTCATTTTTTGTAAATAATTGATGCCAAATAAATTCATTGTTATGATTGCACATTTTTTTACGTTATATAGTAACTTCATTCCATTTTAATAAGCTGAAAAAATTGGCGACAGTCTTAGTAAGAAAGCAAGATGAAATTTAAATATAAAATCATATTTTCATTTTGCTGAGTGGTTTGAATGAAATATAAAAAATATTCCTTTGAAATAGTAATAACAATAATCAGCTTTTATGATACAAGTCTATTAACTAGATCAACTTGAATGCCTAACTAATACCGCCTTCTAGTGAAACCGAAAGGGACTATATGTTTCCTTCTCGTCCGCTCATCTAGCTGTCTATCCGTCTGTCAGACTATCCCATTTAAATTTTTCGCGATTTTCTTCTAAACGCTAACAGATACATGTATTTGGATATTTTTATCGGAATGCGAGTGAATCTTGATGAGCTACAGATCAAGTTTGTATTTTATTCCGTTCTTTTGATTAGTGTTAAAATTACAGCATTTTCCGTACTATTTTTTTGGAAACTCGCACATTTTGAGCACAGCTTAAATGCGGCTTTACCTAATGAATATAATAAATCAATTTGAATTTTGTTCTGCTACATTGATTTTTGACAGCATATTATATAAAAAACAATTTTAATGGAACTTGATTACACTTGCCGGTAGGAGAATAGTATTGTAAATGCTATAATCTAAGGATTCTTGTTTATGATTGTGATAGAAACCGATCAGTGACCAAGGGCAAAAGTCGAGGTACAATAAAGATTAAATCAAAAGTTCATATGACTGCTTTTGGCAAATAATGAGCAATTTTACTGTAAGAAATAAACAATCATTAGAATAAGATATCTTGCGTTTTATACAGCAAAAAATATTCTAAAGTAACTAACTTAAAACAATATCGTAAAACAATTTATGTCCTGTTTGTAATGATAAATAAGATCGGTTTGTTCGATACAGTACTGGTGTCTTCAATGTAAAGGTTCACCATGATACATGCTTTAAATGTGCGACAAGAATAAAACAACTTATAATGGGCAAGGCAGTGAGCTCTGCAAACGCCATTAACTAGTAAGATCTAATTTTTGTTTTACGTTAGATGTCAAACTGACATCAGTTCAAAATGTCATTGTTGACATGCATATTTGCAAAGAATTGCATCGAACACTCGTGTTAATTAAAGAAATACGCATGTCCAAAAACTAATACTTCGCACATACTATACAGGGGCCCGTTTCACTAAAAGGCGTACGCCTGTCTTAACTCTACGCCCGGCGTAAGTCCGGACTTACGTCTAACATTTGGACTAAGGTCCGTTTCACTAAAGGGCGTAACTTTGCGCCCGCCTTAAGTTAAGACAAAAATCTACGGCTGGTCTAAGGCAGGCGTAACTATAGACGTAAACATTGGATAATGGCGACTTTCTGGCTGCTTCGCAGAAGAAGAAGGGAAACACCTCGGCGAGAACGCGTTTTTCGGGACCGAACCAACCCTCTCGAGTATCTTGATGATATAGATCTCGTAAGTAGGTATAGGTTCCCGGGAAGAGTCATTCGAAAACTGATAAATGATGTTGACCCTATTGTGAGGCGACCTACATACAAAAGTCATGCCATTCCCACCCACATTCAGGTACATGTATATGTGAATGCTTACTGTAGCATTGTATGCTTCTTAAATAAACAAATACTGACGCATGGAATCACATGATATGACAAATATAATGGGTTTTACAATGTACCTATTAATATAATTATTAATATAATTAAACTACATTTGCATACTTATTTATACATATATATATAAAGATACAGGTAATTATCACCTTAAGATATCTGTCAAAGGCGGACTTCTTTTCGGAAGTAGGCGACCTTCATGGCGTTTCCAGATCATCCGTATCCCGAGTAATACATACAGGTTGTTATACTTCATTATTTTAACTTTAAAACACATCCCGCGCCCCTCCCCTCTTAATAGTTGACAATATCATGCAAAATAAATGGCATGTTACACATTAAATACACACAAGTAATTCAAAATGAGGCATAATTCCAAAGTAATCGTTACATGTATTAAAACTCCGTGCAATTATTGAGTCTTTATTTTGTGCAGATAAAATGAATATAATAAAAAGTACCGAAATTCCCAGAAAAAAAGGAAGCGGAATTTCTTTGCAATATGCGCCTACACAATGTGTTCTCAATAACTGCAAAGTTTCACGAAATTAGGTTGAGCAGTTTCAGAAAAGTGACAATTGCAAGTACTATGGGGTATACTGATAATAATAATTATAATAATAATATGCACATGTTTGTATACACTATCCTTCATGTTTCTACATGCCTGTAATACATTTAATCAGTTGTACATTTCCTTTTCAAATATTCTTTATATATATCATTAAGGATTTTAACGCAGATTCATCATATTGTTATACAGTGTGCAGTGCAATAAATACAACAGTGGACAACATTAAGTTTCCAGTTACTGCCAATGAATTACGCCATGTAAAATCTGAGTTCTATGACATTGCCAAATTTCCAAATTGCGTTGGTGCAATAGATGGTACTCTAATACCAATTAAGGGCATGAGTGGACCACAGGAGCCTGCTTTTGTATGCAGAAAAAACTTTCATGCCTTAAATATTCAGGCCGTAACAGATTCCAATATGAGGTATAAACGGTATTGATTAAAACATAAATACTAGCACATCATTTTTTTGTAATAGAAATACCCTTGTATACGCCAAAACTTCAACAGGAGAAAATCAAAATATTTTTAAAATATATCGTCAAAAGGGTTTTATGAAATAACAACCTTTGAAAATGTAAATGTTGTCATTTTTAAAATAACTTGATTGCACCAAATATAACCAAACAAATATAACAACTAGTGCTAATTGTAACGGGGACGTTACAGATGTTCCCCAAACGCTCCCCAACTCCGTTTTGGTGCCATATTCCCTGGAGGCTTCATTAAATAGGACAAACACTTTGCATTTAAGACTTTAATTACGTTTACCCAGAAGTGTACCAAGTTCATTCCAATTTTAAGCATTGCACGCTTGCGCATGTGAATGCATGTGCGTAATGACCCTATCATCTTTTCTACACAATCTATATATTTTGATATACTTAATATTATAGTATTTAATCCAAAAGTATTAAAAAATACACTCATTCATGTGTATTTTTTATTTTACTCTTTTCACGTGCACGCACGTGCATACATGAGCATGGTGACTATACCTTCTTGTAGAAGTCCATTACATCTATCTATGTTCTAAATCCCACCCCGTTTGGTTGTAAACCAAGGGAGTTATAGCTGTTTAAAGTTTAATCCAATCAGATTGCGGTGCATGTACACGCACGTGCTTGCATGTGCATGGTGACCATACCTTCTTGTAGAAGTCCATTAATTATATATATCTATGTTCCAAATCCCACCCCGTTTGCTTGTAAACCAAGGGAGTTATAGCTATTTAAAATTTCAGCCAATCAGATTGCAGCGCACGCGCATTCACGTGTTTTTATGATAATTGCTATATATTATGTTATAGGATATCCTAATGCATGGCTATGTTCAAAATTTCAAAGGCTTTTGTCAAAAAACAAGAAAGATATTGAGACTTTAGTTTTAGCCAATCAGAGCGAAGCGCACGTGCATGCACGTGAGATCTCGCTATTTTGACCATGACATCTTGTGCATACTACTAATATATCCTTACATTATGAGTTTCAAAACATTTCGTCAAAAAATAGAAAAGTTACGGTTAAATCCATTATATATTGGTCATTTCACGTTTTGCACGTGCGCGCTCTTGCAAGAACGTGCGCGCAAAATGACCTTGATTCCGCAAATCTACATAACATGTCTACTGACCCTAAAAACATTTCACCTAAATTGGATGTGTAGTTTACAAGATCATTCGCGGACAAAATTTTCCCGAGAAGAAAAATAATAATAATAATAATAATAATAAGAAACAGAGTAAAAACAATATGTTCCCCAACTTCGTTTGGGGAACATAACTAGTGCTAATTGTAACGGGGACCGTTACGGATATTCCCCAAACGCTCCCCAACTCCCTTTTGGTGCCATATTCCCTATAAGCTTCATTAAATAAGACAAACTCTATGCATTTGAGACTTTAACAACGTTTACCCAGAAGCGTACCAATTTCATTCAAATTTTAGCATTGCACGCGTGTGCATGTGAATGCACGTGCGCAATGACCATATAATCTTGTCTTCAGAATCTATAGATTTTAATATACTAAATATCAAAGTACGAGGGCCGTTCAAAAATTACGCGGACTTGTTTCACAGAAGAAATATTTGACGACATAATCGGGCAAAATTTCACAAATAATATAAAAGAATGTTTACTTATATGGTCTTCAAAATTTCATATCAAAATGTTGTAAGTTGGTATTAATTTTGAGTGATTTTTCAGGACATACCATTAAGTCACGGCGCAGCAAAATCTTCGACGTCACAAGCATTATAAAAAATATGTGATTGAGCTTTCATTTTCTCAACATTTTCCCTTGAGTACCTGTAAAGTTTGAGTTACCTTATCTACTCAACATCAAAACACCATTTCTTGTCAAGCTTAAAATCTATTAAACAAGTAAAGAGTATTCTTTTCTTTTTTTGTTTTAAAACCGAAAACTACTTATGAGATATAGTGTGATATTGGTGACTCTCAATCAAGTTCTTTACAGTCCGGATAAAGTTAAATTTTCGTCTATAATCTTCTTCCCATCCTCCCGTATAGCCTTTTTACAGAGGTCTAACTGTCTAAAATTTCAATTTGCTATTTGCGGACGAATGTCACGAGTAGCCTAGTTTACTACATGTTTTATAATGCACATTTTGGATCGATGTTGCCAATATCTCGAGCATTACACATATTTTAACAAAAGTGTGGTGTGCCTTCAATTCAGGAGACGTCATTTTCACAGTCGTTTTCACGGAAATCGCATCAGAGAAAAATCACTATATTTCTGTTATTACTTCAAATATTACGTCCGAAATCTAAATACATAATAATAGAACAATTTTAAGGTAAATTTGAGAAAATTGTTGAAAAAAATCGCGAATTTTAAAAAATCAATGAGTTAAATTTTTGAATCCGCATGCTTTTGCTTCAATTTTTTTGTCGTGCGCCGTACCTCTCCATCAACGATATCAACATACCGATAATTTTAGTAGATTTTTTTTAAAATATAGAAATTTTGCCCAAAATTTATTGGAATCTTTAGGATACATATTTCTGTGAAATTTTATAACTATATGACGTCTATAAAAGTAAATAATAGCACAGTCCGCGTAATTTTTGAACGGCCCTCGTATTTAATCCAAAAGAATTAAAAAATACGCTAATTCAAGTGTATTTTTGATTTACTCATTTCACGTGCACGCACGTGCTCACATGAGCATGGCGACCATACTTTCTTGTAGAAGTCCATTACATCTATCTATGTTCTAAATCCCACCCCGTTTGGTTGAAAACCAAGGGAGTTATAGCTGTTCAAAGTTTCAGCCAAACAGATTGCAGCGCACGTACAAGCACGTGTATGCATGTGCATGGTGACCATATCTTCTTGTAGAAGTCCATTATATCTATTCATGTTCCAAATCCCATCCTGTTTGGTTGAAAACCAAGGGAGTTATAGCTATTTATAGCATAAGCCAATCAGATTGCAGCGCACGTGCAGGCACGCGTTTTCATGATAATTGCTATATATCTTATTGTAGGATATCCTAATACATGCCTATGTTTAAAATTTCAAAGGATTTCGTCAAGAAAGATATTGAGACTTTAGTTTCAGCCAATCAGAGCGAAGCGCACGTGCTTGCACGTGCGATCTTGCTATTTTGACCATGTCATCTTGTGCATACTCATATATCCTTACATTATGAGTTTCAAAACATTTCGTCTAAAAATAGAAAAGTTACGGTTATATCCATTATATATTGGTCATTTCATGTTTTGCACGTGCGCGCTCTTGCAAGCACGTGCGCGCAAAATGACCTTGATTCCGCAAATCTATATAACATGCCTACTTACCCTAAAAAGGTTTCACCTAAGTCAAATGTGTAGTTTACAAGATCACTCGCGGACAAAATTTTCCCAGGAAGAAAAATAATAAGAATAATAATAATAAGAAACAGAGTAAAAACAATATGTTCCCCAACTTCGTTTGGGGAACATAATTATAAGAATGCTAATTGTTTGCTTACATATGCATAAAGGATGAAAAATTGGTTGATATTATTTCAGATTTCTTCAAATCAATACCTGTTTTCCCGGGGCAACTCACGACTCTTTCGTTTTGAGAACTCGGGATTGTCAGGTGTTATGGAACATCTCGAAGGGGGTGGGTGGTTACTTGGGGATTCTGGCTACCCTCTCAAGGAATGGCTCTTAACGCCATTCTTATCCCCAGCCAATCAACACGAAGTGAATTACAACGACGCCCATGGAAAGACTCGTGTTGTCATAGAAAAATCGTTTGGGGTATTAAAATCCAGATTTAGGTAATTTAAACGCAATTTTTCGTTAAATATCTTTATTATATATGTCATATTTGCAAGCAAATATTTTATTTCAAACGTTCATTATGATAAACGCGACCTTAAATTTGTTTTATTTGAGAAAAAAATGTATATCTATTACAACCATAAATAAACCTTGTTACAATTTTATTGTGAATTCATTTAAAATTCTGTGGGCCAATTTTCTTAGATTGTGGGTTTTTTGGTTATTTGTGGAGATGTAATTTCGTGTATGGGTCGGTTTTCAGATTCAGTAACAAAGATATCTCTTTCTAAATTTCCTATGAAGATGTAAATTCGTGGTGGTTTGGGGGGGGGGGGGGGCTACCAACGAATATCACGAAAATTGAGCCACCACGAATTCTCATGATTCCACAGCATTTACATTCAAGTAAATCTTTGCAGATGTTTACATCGAACTGGAGGAGTACTCCCCTTTTCACCCAGTAGATGTTCTCAAATTATTCAATGCTGCATCCGGCTTCATAATTTAGCTGTTTGAGAGAAAGTCCCCTTACTTGAGGGTGGGGTTGTACAGAACATCAATGACAATGCCGTGTTTAACGCAAACGCACCAAGGAGAGCACAGGATGTGCGCATTCAAGTTGCAAATTTATTTTAACAATTCATCTATTCATTAAATCACACACTTACATTGTAATAAAAAACATGACTACTTTATGATTTTGTGTTCAAATTTATTAAATGCCAAATTTGTTTTCAAATGCCGCCGCTATTCTCTCTAGGGCATCTGCTTTTCTCTCCTCTGCGATGGCTCTTCTCTCCTTCACTCCTATCAAATTCAGCATAAACTCAGCGTCGGGGTCGCTGGCCGTGTCTTGATTTTTAATGAAAAGTTTTATAATCAGAACAATGTCAATTGAAACAGAAGAAAATCAAATAAAATCATATTATGTGTAATATGAATAGTTAAAAGTGCATGAATGAAGTTGAAACAGTTCACTTGGGTTTTTGTCTTAACAAACGTAAAACTACGCGAAAATTAAAACTGAAGGAATGTTTAATACATTTTTAATTCATTTTCATAGCGTTGGCATTGTTTCTTTTTTACCTTTACGTTTAGATCCATACAGAGTTGAAGCAAAGAATTTGTCTGTGGAAGGCCCGGACACATGTACACTTGGAGCTTCTTCCGGAACGTCAACTTCTTCTACTATATACATGTACAAACATACATTTTTTAATTTGAAAAAAAAAAATCAATATTTCAAATCTACACACTTAATCTGTTCCGCGTGTGAAGAACATACATATCAAATTTTTGACAATCTATTATCATAATTTTTATGATTTAAAATTTTATAAGTATATTATATAATATGTATAATTGTACAAACCAATCAAGGATGGAATTCCAGCGGAAATTTCCGATGGGACTGCAGTGCATGATGAGGCTAAGTTATCTGTTACAAAGAAATACTAGTATTTAGATATCATATATTTCAATTTTTTTCATACTATAACTACTGTATACTACAAGAATACTAAATATACAAAGCATGGAAAATCAAATAGTATATGAAGCAAAAGTCGGGAAGGCAACATTATAAGGTTATAAAAATACATGTAGTGAACGTATGTTTACAATATACATGCATGTACCATGTATTTATACATACTTGTTTCAGAATTACTGGCAAAGGCAGTATCAACCCCTCCGTCAATCCCAGAGATAAGTTCATCCGGTATAATTGACAAAATCTAGCAATAAAAACAAAAAATATAGTTGTTGCCTTTTTCAATTTATTAAAATAATAAACGGTGCGAAACATTAATGAAAAAATAATTATGTCAGTATCGGAAACTCATCTTAGCAACGATCGAAACTTTTTTTTAATACATAGTACATATAATTATATCAATTTTAGGTAACAGAGGCGTAGTCACAAACTTAAAAGTGGGGGGGGGGGGGGCAAGTCCAGAAATACTTTGACAATCAAAAAAAAAAAAAAAAAAGAAAAAAGAAAGAAAAAGAAAAAGAAAAGCAATTGAAAGTTCCCCAAACTCGAAAATCCTATTTCGTGGGGGGGGGGGGGGGGTGTTAGTGGCCAACTTTTTCAAAGGCACGTTACTTTCAATTCCAATTTTTCCCCCCACAATTCTTCGATATCACTATACTATGGTCAAAAAAGGGGGGGGGGGGCAACTATCCCCTCAATGAACATTTCCTATAGTAAAGGTAATGTTGGGGAAAAAGGTGGGGGGGGGGCAGGTCTTGACGATTTAATCACTATATTATTACACTACTATATTATACAACTGTTACTTCAAGAGAAATGCTTACTCATTTGTTGAACATAAAAAAATGCCATAAAATGAGGTTTAATATTATTTCAAAATAGCTGTAATTTTGTTCTTCATTGAAAAGTGGGGGGGGGGCACAGTCCTACTCTTGCCCCCCCCCCCCCCCCCCCGATCTGAAAGTGGGGGGGGGGGGCTAGTGCCCCCGCTGCGCCCCCCTGTGACTACGCCTATAGGTAAATATTAGAAAACACATACGTCAAGTTCCCATGCCTTGAATACAGATTCCGGGGGAGGCCCTCCGCCCGTTCTCTTCGTCTGGTATTTTCTACTGGCTTCTTTCTTCTTTACAATGGATCTTGCATCTTTCCATTTCTTCTTTATTTCTTCTGTTTCCCTCTTGCACAAGGCAGAAGAAGAATTTATTCTACAGTACAATTTTAACACTAAATATATTTTTGAATCCCCAGTCTACCTTCATTTGTATATTTTTCGTTAGAAATTAAAAAAATATATATAAAAATACACAAAACCTAAATAACATTCCTATTTTTGCCAATTTAGTTAGGTTTTTGACCATAAATATACATTATATGTAACATGTAGACATGAACAAATTGTATGTAATCAAATCGGAGATGTTAAATTTATATTTTTGTTGATCGTTATTTTAAAAACCTAAATGCTTACTGCTTTGTGATGTCTTCCCATACAGCTTTCTTTTTCTCGTTTGTCACTGAAGCCGACAGTTTTGCAAATAATACATCTTTGTTTTCAATTACACAAGATGTTAGAATTTTCATTTCATCATCAGTCCAGTTTGGCTTATGTTTTTAACTCTCCGAAGACATTTTGATTGTGCAGATTTAATAGCGAATATTGCAGACGACAATATCGATATTTACACGTTTGTTTGTTACGAAATTCACATTATTTAAGAAAACGCTATGGAAATCAACATGACAGATCAGAGAGAGAGAGAGAGAGGTTTCTTAAATTCTTTATTTCACTACAAAACACAGTTGCGAATGTATTCCTTTCAACATAATTCAATCTACGATTTATTTTCAATCTAAATATGTTTCAACGCTTTTAAGTTTTTATTATAGACCTCAAAACAAATATTGCAATAAATAATAAAGAAGAATATGCGATCTTTTCCATATATCTTTTCAATGAATATCAAACAAATTTCTCTTTCTCTCCCCTCTCTCACTCTCAATCTTTATGATATGTATGCGCATGTGCATAAGCTCGTTGTCAAGGACGTAAGTCTGGCCTTAACTTAGTCCGATACTAGTATTTAAGGCCAGGCGTACGCCTCTTAGTGAAACGCAACTTACGCCGGACTAAATTTTGGCGTACGCCCCGAAGCCTAACTTAAGTTTGGTCGTATCTTACGCCTTTTAGTGAAACGGGCCCCAGGACTATTCACAACAACTCCACATACAAGAAAAAATCAGGGGAAAATCATGAGGAACAATTGTATTTCGATGTAAACCGTTTAGATGCTGAGTATTAAAACATTTTTTATTTATTTAATTGAAAATAAAATTCTTAAAGTTGTCTAATTTTATAAAGTTTTAATACTTAAGAAATATTTTCCACAGTATAATAATAATTTTTTTCCATTTTTAAAATTGTTATTTAGTTATTTGTTTATTAATTATTTATTTTTTGCCTTGTACTTTGACATTAATTACATTTGAAACAAAAACGGAAGAAACATGTACATTGTATAACGATAAAACATTATTGTAGTTGTAAATTCATCAATATTCCTTTAATTCTACTCTCTCTTACTCAATATATTTCATTACGCTTCTTCTATTTGCAAAGTATATAATGGACATGTAACTGATTCATGTAGTGCGGTACTCTTTTTGACACAGAGCTTCAATTTGAATCATCAAAGATCTTGTACGGGCTAAAAATGAAGGGTTTGGAGATAACGAACGGTATTCAATATCAAAGTCCATAAAACAAAACAAAAAGGACTGAGGTGGGATCAGGTGCAATGGAGGAGTGAGCATTCCCTGCCGACCTGTCACACCTGCCGTGTGCTCCTTTTCATGATCGGGAAATAACGGAAAATCAGTCGTCAATTTAGTGTATAAATAATGGACTAACAATTAGTATGAAAAACGTCAGTCAGCATTTGACTCAATAATCAATTGTATTTGCTGACAAGGTTATTGTATCGACCATAGAACTTACGAAATGATAACTGTATTCGAGACTGTCGATTTTCTTCTTTCATCAACTTGTTTGTCAATGATTTAGCTCGTTAACGTTTTAGATATTGTTCATAAGTAGAGCATGCTCTTGCGTATCGAATCAACTGAGGTATATAAACTCCTTATGCAGGTAATGAAGGTTTATTGCTGCATAAATAAGGGATGTTGAAGATGGAAAAGTCAAAGTCATCACATTTATCATAGAGCTTGGTTGTTAGATTACAATTATGTGTCAGACTTTGAGGTATCTTTTATTTCAAGCTCACTGTATCGACAAAGGAATGGAAATTACCATTGTTAATTTACAATACGTCGATGATATATCTGAAGGTCGAGTTGAAGGTCACAGCAAGTGTTTTCCTTCCCTCACCCACAAGACCATGCACAAATTCTGCTTCAATCAGATGAATTTAAAAGTAGGTCTGCTAAAAACGGAGCGTAATTGGTAGTTATGGGAATTCAAATAGATTGTTGGAAGACCTGGTCTCCAAAAACCACACAGATAAATAAATGTCACTCAGAAACTCAAGCATGTCAACTTCAGAGTACTTTAAAGTGTGTGCAATCAGAATTTGTTTTAACAAAATAATTTTGCAAATGACCAATGGCCAGGTTAGTAAATTTACGAGTTCGATTTCTATTGAAATAGTAGATGCAATAATATAGCCCCCCTTCCCAGACCTTTTTTGGGGAGAGGGCTACAGCTTAAGATCTCCGTAATGGTGCAGATGCAACAACGATTCACTCCCGCACGGATTTTAACTCAAATTGTCAGAAAACGGCTATTTTATTAACATATCTTACTCAGACTTCGATAATGTAGTTATCCAAGACATAAATCTACTAAAAAATATACAGAACAATCCATATATCGGTTATTTGTCGTGTATGTCAACATCACAACTTGAATTTAGCCGCCATGTTTACTGACCTTGACAGATTTTACTTTGGGACAGCCAATGAGATAAAGGATCTATAGGGAGCGGATTTCTTTGGAATTACCTTATTTTAAGCCTAAATATCGCTTTTAACAAACAAAAAAATAACACATGGAATGATTTTATTTCTTGATGTTTAGTGATACTCTTCATCACAATCATTTATAAACACCGACACCTGCTTTATAGAATTATTCTAAATTCCATGCGGAAGTCTCAGTACGTCACGTATGAACTGTCATGGCTGCGTAATGTTTTTAGAACTTTTGCCTAATCCCAATTGTAAAGTATAATCAATAAAATATGCTGAGTAGAACGACATTTTTGCACCATTATGGAGATGCTGTGGAATTGTAGCCCTCTCCAGAAAACATCAGATAAAAAAATCGAAGAGGGCTACATTATTGCAGCTATTGAAAAATCAGCTGTCAAAAACGTGTTTGCTCTACTCTTATTTTGTATTGCTTTGTGTAGACTTTTGAGTTTTGATTGCTGTTCGCAATCTCTATATATTTCATCAGTCTAACATAGTTTATGATGCGCGATTAGAAATTTTTTCCAGCGAATTGATTTTTTAACTCAGACGGAGTAAACAAAACTGATTTTACGTATTTTTTCAAACTTTAAACTTGAATTACACGTAGAGTGTCCCGTGGATAACTGTTTCCGTCCGTTCTGTGGTAAGAATTTATGTCTTATTTTCCAGTGTTTGTATCATCCGGATAATATCAATTTTGTAAAAATCTATATGTATGGTTTATTCTATATATGTTTAAGACAGAAAGTTTATGAGAATTTTGGTTGATATATTGACTTTAATAAAACTACTTTATACCAAAATTGTATAGTGTTTATTGGAATTGTACATCAAAGAAAAAATTCAAAAACCTTTTAGTTAAAAATGCATAAAGAATCATTTCAATATTTGAACAGCAACAATGGAATATTGCTGAGGTATTTACGTTAAAGATATTGTTATTTATATGCTTCCTTTATAGAAGTGTATATAGTGATGGACTTTATGTATTGTAATCGTAATTCAATGTTATTTCTATTTCTTAAAAAAAATCTTAAAGTAAGTATTATGCTCATCTGATCAGAAATCTCAAATTGCATTTAAAAATCATCCCCTTCTCAATTTTATAAAACTATATAAACTTGGCAAAGTTCAAATAGTATTGCAATTCATATAAATGAAAGACTACGCTGATGAAAAATGCATTCTTTGATAACTCATGCTGTATACTTTATACGTATTTCAAAGTAATTCAAACAATCACTGAATGATAAATAAAAATAGAATTGTGTTATCAAAATTTTTTGAAGGACAATTCCGACAAAAAATAAAGTTCCTTGAAAAAGTCATAATCCTCCTATACAGTTTGTTATTTAACAAAAATGTTCTTGGTGCATATATGATAAATTAAAAAATTCAATGAAAACCCTTAATTTATTTTTTCTAGTGATAAAAAAGTGCAATTGCAATTTTCTACCTGCATGTAGTTCAGATTTTGCCTAAAAATTCACTTTCATTACATAATAAAATTTATTTGATTTCACAATTGATATTAAGTAAATATTCATGTACGTATTTAATTATATTTGATCAATGGAAATTAAAATGTTTAAAAATTTAAATTTTGCCTTGATATCAAATGATTGATTTTAAAGGACTTTCAACAACTTCGAATAAGATCAACACTTCAATAGTGTTGTCATTATTATGACCTATTTTGTGCATATAACATATAAGTAGATCATTTAATAATAATGACATATGATATTATGATATGAATATGATATTTCAAACCAATTGTAAAATTTGATGAAAATGATTTTGTCTGTCTTATCAATAAAATACACTAGCAAACATTGTGAGTTACTAGTCCAGAGGTATTTTTTTCATTATGCTCTTTTAATAAATTTGCATTTTTAAAAGATTTTGAGGTCGAAAGCGGCCAGCGTTCTTTGAGATTTTCCTATTATTACAATCTACAATAATAATTGGATATTTGTAGTCAACCAGAAGATTAGTCAACAATTCTAGGAAAAGTCAGGATGTTTATCTCAGTCCTCATCTTTCGACATTTAAGACCCAGGTGAGCGCTATAGAGAAAGACCTCATACCATTGATCAAGAAATTAAAAAAAGACAGAATCTCCTAGAAAGTGGACAGTCAAGAAATTGCAATGCAAGTATAAACACTCGATACAATGCAGTTAATGACCATCATAACTATATTGCCGGTTATTGCATTCAGTTATGGAGATTATTTAGAGTCCAATTTTGAATTCCTTGGTCATGTTCCTACACCAGTCAGTGCTGATTCTGCGAGTAAGGAGGTAACATTAAGTCACTGCTTTTCCTCGTGTATACAGAACAACAATTGTTATTTCTTTGACTTCTGTGACAACAGTATTACTGAGACTTGCTACACGTACGAAAGGAACAGAACAAATATTATTGGGACAGATGGTGGCCCATGCAGACGCTATAAACTGGTGAGATTAAATTGTTTATGACTGTATGGACATTATATCAAACCAGTTTTAAAAATTGCTAAATGTAAGAAAGACATCAAAATTAGAATAGATGCATTAACACTCTTTAAAAGTGCATGTATCAAATTATAATTAAACAACATATTTTTACAACGCATTGTTGTCAAAAAAGTATTACCACATTATTTTAAAAAATCATGAAAATGTAATGAAATCTTAAGAGCTATACATCAATTTTGAAAAAAAAAATAATTTTATACAGAGATTTTGCTATGAAATAAATTTGAAATTTATGCATGTACCAGTTTTTAATCATTACATTTTTGTCCTACTTGCAGAAATAGCGATATGTTCATAGTATCACTTTCATAATAAATGCAAATAATTTAAATGACCTTTTAATTGATTTACTGAATGAATATTTTCAGTTTAACTCCAAACGTAATATGAACAGTGTGCAATAATTTTTTTAAGGGAAATCTATTTTATTTTAACAGATAAAATATTTTTGCCTGGGGATCTACTGGCTTCCATATTTTTCAAAAATAATTGTAAAACATTAGTATATGAAATTTATCATTAGCTTTCTCTTTGTAAAATTATTTAGAGACAATTGTGTGAGGGAGAATTTACGCAACCTTGCAGATGTCCAGAAAATCATGGCGCAGAAAGATGTAAATACAAATATGGTATGATTAAGATTACAAGCTATTTTATCTTATAAAACAATATAAACTTATATCCTTAACACTTACTTAAAATGTTTTGACATTTAAAGATTGCAGTGGAAATCTTGTTCACCTGGCGACATCTTCATATTCATTTTTTCGAGAGTTTTCAAATGGAAATACAATTGAACTATATTGCGACATGGAAACAGAAGGCGGCGGTTGGATAGTAAGTACATGTTGTTTTCTTTTTTGTTGAAATTGTGACATGGGATACTCATATTTCCATTTCTTTGCATGTAAATTTCCTTTTCCATTAATTCCTAATGTATATATCAGTATATGAATGCTCATCCACCCGGAAATCAATGGTTTTTTTGAGTAAATGTAAAGTACTCTTCAAAATGATTTCTTTTCTGATGTGAATTCCCTTTTTGTCCCTCTCAGCCTGATTGTTAATTATTTTATCGATCCTGTCAAATGTATTTAAAATGGATTTTCTACATGTTTTTATTTACCTTATAATAAAACACAATTAAAGGGTCTTTTTATTCAAAACTTGCGTTGTATATGTAAAATTCAAACGATAAATAATAAAATTTGAAAGAAAAATATGATTATTCCTAAAAACCATCTACAGTATATGTATCAGGCTCAACATTCCGTTTTTACGCCACAAATTAAAGTTATTTGAGAGCAATTAAAGACCCTTTAAATAATCTTCAAGCTGAAATCTAATGATGTGAAAAATAACTTTCAACTGTCGACTGAGTACACCACTCTAGAGCACTTTCTTATATATATGACCAGTAAAACTTGGTAACCGCATGAACACAATGAGCTTATATTTGGAAGGATATCCATCAATAAGTATTCTACTTCACGACAACTTGTATTTTGTAATAAAGCCATTGAATAAAACAACGATTTTTTTTTTTAAAGTTTCGTCAACTTAAGGTCATTTTTAAGAAAACATTTATAATGTCTTCTTCGTCAGATCATTTTTTAGTTTGGGAATCAATTGTGCATGTTTTATGGACTTTGATGTTTAATGGACTTTGATATTGAATACTGTTTGTTATCTCCATATCCTTCATTGTACATAGAATAAGCTCTCACTTATTGAATCAACTCGGAGCCACAACACACCATGTGTAAATTAAAATATCATATCAATATTGATATATAATAGATCAAGGCCTCTAATCGTAAGAATCAATAATAAAGTTTAATTTTACCTTTTTTCAGTGCCTTCTTATCATTACTTTAGAATTAAACAAATTAGTCATTTTAAGTTAAATGAGAGTATGTACATCCATTTAACTTTACTAACCAATGCTTTTTTCACAATATTGAAACAATCTATTTAAAAAAATATTCCATCCACAATATCAGATAAGAGTCTACGCTTTGACACCGACAAATTGACTGAAGAATGTAAAAGTACAACTAACTGGTATATTGATAGGTGTTACGGAATAGAAATACATTAAGCTCATAATCGGAAGGGTCCTCAGGAATGCATTAACCACTGTAGTGTATAACACACCAAACAAGAGGCCCAGGGGCCACAGCGCTCACCTGAGCACATCGGGCTTGAATTTACTCCCCCCTCCCCCCTCCAGGTGTTCATCATTTGAACAAACTAGAATCTACACCACCTAAGGATGATTCCATATAAAAATCACAAATTAGAGCTTTGAAGAACTTGAAAAGAAGATTTTAAAAGGTTTCCCTATATATCCCTATGTAAAACTTGGGTCGGCCATTTTGGCCCCATCCTAGCCCCAGGTGTCATGATTTGAACAAACTTGAATCTGCACTACCTGAGGATGATCCCACATGAGTTTCATCTTTCCTGGTCCAGTGGTTCTGGAGGAGAAGATTTATAAAGATTTTTCCTATATATTCCTATGTAAAACTTGGGTTGGCCATTTTGGACCCACCCTTGACCCGGGGGTCATGATTTGAACAAACTTGAATCTACACTACCTGAGGATGCTTCCACATGAGTTTCATCTTTCCTGGCCCCGTGGTTCTGGAGGAGAAGATTTTTAAAGATTTTTTAAA